AGCAAATGACGTTGGTACATCCGAGGGTCTCCACGCTTGGTAAATTCCTGACAATCGCGTTCTTCTGCGCCATCTTCTTTGTTCCTAGAGCCAGGCATGCTGTAATGACGGCAGCAAGGCCTTCTGGGATCGCAGCCACCGCAAGAGCCACGGCAATTTTGAAGTAATAGATAGCACCCTTCATTACGCCATGGTGTGCAGGGTCCCAGAAGTGCCGGAAATTGACCAACCATACCAGGATACATATTACGGAGATCACTTTGGCCAGCATATCACCAAAATCGTCGAGTTTGCGTTTGAGCGGAGTCTTTTCAGTGATTTGCTGCGAGATTGAATGATGGATGTGGCCGATAGCGGTCTTCTGACCAATGAAAGTGACGATGGCTCGCGCACTCCCATTGACTACTGTGGTACCCTAGATAATTATGAACACCTTGTCGAACGTCAAGAAGGTGAGAGCGCTTACAGAGAACAGCATGTTTGTCATGTCCTGTTGCACGGCGCCCGTGTCAGAGACAACGTCGACCGACTTGTTCACGCTAACGCTCTCGCCAGTGAGGATGGCCTGGTCTGCCCTGAAGCTACTAGAGGATATGGACAAGATTCTGCAATCCGCTGGAATTTTGTCGCCGACTGAGACTGAAACGATGTCACCTGGAACGAGTTCAGAAGCGTGAATATGGGCTAATTGGCCGGACCTGAGGACTTTGGCCTCATCTGGGGAATATTCCTTCAAGGCCTGCACGAACACAGTTGAACATTAGTGCACCACGAAGCTATACAATAACACTCACGTCTATGGCTTGCTCTGCGTTTGTTTCTTGTACCACTCCAACAGTTGCATTCGCGATAAGAATGAGCAATATGACGATGGGTTCGACAAATGCTCCAAATAAAGTGGTATCCTCAGAGTCATCTAGCAATGCCAAAACGAAGGATATAACTGCTGACGCAAGCAGGATCATCACCAGCTGATCCTTGAACTGTTCTAGGATAAGCTCCCATAGTGGAGTCGGAGGTTCTTCTGGAAGCTCTGCCCAGAATGTTAACTGCCAAAACAAAATACAAGAACAACGCCGACGGACCGTTTTTTCCATACACTTCAGCATGCTTTGCGGCGTGAGCTGCAGTGAGTCCGCGAGAACCATCGACGCCAAAGTGCTCTAGGACTTGTTCCGGGGTATTAGCCCAAGGATGGTCCATGATCGTAATGAAGAGAAAAGATACAGACGAGGCTCGACTCGGCACCTCTCAGTAGCACTGGTATTTGCATTACTATGTCGCTTGTGAAATTTGCTGACGTGTCCGATTTGTTTGTGCAAGTTGTCGTCCACGAGGGCAGCCCGTCTGAAAATCTGACGGTTAAACTCATGATCATGGCCAGACGTTGCGCGCTGGAAACCAAAAAGTGTAACGCGGGCGGTATCATAGAAAACAACTATGAAAGTTAGACTATGCAGTATAAGATGCAACACGTCAAATCACGCGGTATATATGTAATACGTACAGACAAGCACGCCATCAGGCGCAAAACTCCAAATTAATTTTACTTGTACATCAGCTTCTAACCTTGGTCTTATGCTTATCTATTATCCTAGCATGAAAAGCCCAATAGCCTGCAAGTACAACCTGGCAAGATAACGATTTCTTTCAAATTCGGGCCTTCAACTTGCCACCAAACACAAACACATGTAAATACACTATGGTGACCTAATTGTCCAGTGAACAGCAAAGGAAGCCGCGCATACGACGGTCTCGCCGCCCCAATTTCGTTGGTTACTCTGAACTTACCAACACGTTATCGTCTTTGCAATTGAAGCCATGGGCAACACCAGCTCATCGTCCTCACGCGGCCATCACGACGACACCGTTGACTACGGTTATCTCGCTCCTCAGGGCGTCTACACTGGTCCCAAAGATTGGAATCATGGGATTGTTACCCAGCTCATCATAGATCGCAGGCTTGCACCTTTCTATCGACCTCTAGAGGATTATAATGAAAACTGGGACGATGAGCAGATCATGTCAGCTAGGAGAGTCATTCCAGATACTGACAGTACCAACTCCGACACCCCTCCTACAAGGGTTGACTCCCGAGATTCCACAAAGCCAACTCATCAGTCTAAACGGCCTGGTGCATTGAAGGAGTCTTGCCGTTATCCAGAAGCTGCCATTTACAGAGGTGCTGTAGAATGCCCAATATGTTTCCTTGTGCGTTATCTCTCACGTGCGTCATGCGCCCACTGAGTAACTTGTGCCTCAGTATTATCCCCCTAATATGAACCATTCAAGGTGTTGCGATCAAGCGATATGTACGGAATGCTTTGTTCAGATAAAGAGGACCGAACCCACGGCTACCCATCTCGTATGTGAGCCAGCAGCATGCCCATATTGTGTGCAGGAGAATTTTGGTGTAGTATATACACCTCCATCATGGCGTACTGGAATTGGGAGCGATGGAACGGTTTGTTTTCCTCAGACATATTCCTTATTATAACTGACGAGGTAACTTCGTTCTTTACTCATTGTTATTCAGTCATTGCCAGTATGGTCGGATGCTCCCAAAGGCTCGCAGCAGAATATACCCAGTGCGGCTCACAAACGACGTCGCAAGAGCTTTGGTCATGATAGTCCGGAAGTGGTCACTACAGGTAAATGACTCATGTTCAAATGTCGCATATCATCATGTTTTGCTGTGCATAGATTCTATAAGGCCAGACTGGGAAGCTAAACTTGCCGCCGTTCGAGCTGCGGTCACGCGCCGTGCAAACAGGCGAATAATCATGCGTCAAGTAGGAGACAGACTCATCCCAGTTGGTGTGACCAGTGGCCGCGTTCATCCCCTACCGACTGGTGAGGCTCAGGATGGCGGTGAAGTAGACAACGGTACCAGTCGAAGAAGTCGGCGACATAGAAATAATGGTGGTCAGCCTGACATCAGTCAGTTGTTGGGTCAGATGGGGCTTGGCGGTCAAGATCTGGAAGAGGTATTAGCTGTGTGCTCGGACGTATTTCAACTAATATCCCTTTTTCAGTTAATGGTGATGGAAGCCATGCGCCTGTCACTTTTAGAGCATGAGGAGCAGCAGAAAAAAGAAGAAGAGAAACGGAAGAAAGAAGCTACTGCTACTGCTTCAGTAGAGGGAGATACTGCTGGTCGGTCGAGTGAGGATCGGACGACGACAGACACAGTAGGGAACGACGCTTCCAATATCCCTTCGGGCGCCCGGAGCTTGGAGTCAGGAGAGGCAATAGCCGAAGCGAATCACGGTGGTAGTCGGGCAATGACACCTGTAGCAGGTCAACCAACCTCTTCATCTCACTCGCAGACACCCGTTGATGCCAACGCCACCCGCAGTGATGGGACAATCTCGATTTCAGGCTACCCACAATGCCTGACACCGGGCACTTCATCTCCGATGATTAATGATGGAACTGTTGATTCCACAGCATCGGCCGTGCCCGATGGAGTAGCCAAGCTCTCAAGTCAGAATGCTTCCATGTATATTGACAGCATGCAGCCATCCGCAGGGACGCCTGGTGCGACCTCCATATCGACCTCTATTTCCAGCCTCAATACTCTAGGACAGCCATCTTATGATGCACTTCCATCTTCACCAGAATCGTCAATGGAGCAGCCGTTATTGAAGACGGACTCGGTAGGCCGGGCTGCCGTAAAGGCCGCTAATTCATGATCGTCAGTTGCGTGGTACTGGGGTGGTGGTGGTGGAGGTGGTGTTAGTTATCGTGTCATTCATCGTTTATAGATCCTGGAGGAGCATCTTTCGTAATTCTTAATGTTTGCATACTTGTTAAACAGCCTGTTGAATACATCACCACGACATGAATTTGAATTTGTTCGCCACTCTCATGTTATGGCGTAATTGCCGTTAACGATCAGACTTCGTGGAAGATGAGTGTCATGTGGCCCAAACTCGGTGATGGCGTATATCTCGCTTCATTTGTGTATCCGCGGAGGAATGACAATGGTGAGATGTTTCTCACTATTGCGTTCATGGACGGGTGCAATTACACACCGACTGGTCACAATTCTGATCTGCATCTTCTCCTGTGTGCTACCGTCTCACGGCGGGGGAACCCGTCGAGCGGCACCGCCATTACAAATCGCGCAGTAAACACATACTGTCCAGTAAGAAAAAGAGAGCGCTAAGCAGAGATACCGATCACTATCGACGATTTTGTTGGTCGGCCCAAATAGGTTTTCCTGCATCTGGATCGTTCTGGTCGTATAAAAAATTAGATACCATCACACGGAACGTGAAAAGATGCTGACCTGAGCATCTATCTGACGCTTTATGGTTTGTTCTTGGAGGAGTCTGGCTGCGCGGTTTGCATCGACCTTTCGCCGCAGATCAGGTGACATCGCCTGGCAGTGCGTTTATGGTGAGACATGGTTCTACTGAAGATGATGATTGCAAAGCATGCACATGCCATGGCATAGCCTCGGAATGGTACAGCATGACCAATGGCGAAAGATGGGGCAAAGAACTCACGGCATATGTCTGTTCAGGTGTAGGTACGGTCGCTACAAATCAAGAACAAGGTGGTGATGGCGTTCAATCACATCAGGAGGAACAGAACAAGAGTCGTCCAAACAATAGTAGGCGAATCAGATGGTGAAGGTCCCCGGGTTGATAGTAGTAGAAGACGAACCGCTCATCAAAAGGTAACCCAGGCCCATCACTGACGCAGAAAAAGTGCCGTGCATCATGTGCGTCGAGTGAATTTCAACCCAGTCCCAGCTACCATCAGCTTCTGTGTTTGCTAGGTCGAGATAAGAACTCACAGCCGCCTCCTAGTAATGTCATTCTGAACCACGGAAAACTCATTGTGTGTGATATTGGTAAGTTATCAAGTTAAGGCCCGGAGGTAAGTTAATGGTGGCAAGCACAGTATTTACTTATTTGTATCTCAGCATCATTGGCGTATCATACCTGGAAGTTAACTCCGGAACCTGGACCACCGCAATACTCATCAACTTTGTATGTAGTATGTACCACCTTGGGTGGTATATCTCATTAAACCGGTATCCGAGGACATGTGCCAACGAAATTAATAAATATGCAATGATAGTAGAATTGGACATTCTACAGTGAGTCGTGCTGGTATGAAGTATTGATTGTTGGAAAAGGACTATGCGGAGAGAACCTATGCTAGATATAAGGAAAACATGACAGCGGAAAACAGTGGCGATAAATAGTGTAGAATGCAGGGAATCCGTGTACTCAGCCTTCCGCTTGCAGAAATGTCCGTATGACTTGTTGGCCATTCAGCTTCCTGCGCTGGGACACAAAATCCATCATATCCGCAGTACTTCTGCGGCTCACCAATTCTATTCTCGCTAGTTCCTCCTCCCACGCGCGCATCTCTACTTGTCCGACTTTCTCGAACAACAAGCTACCTTCTGCGCCAGTAGCACCTTCAGGTATTGTAGAGTGGGCTCCTTCCGAGCTCGCGCCTGAACTAGAATGGCCAAGCCGTGGGGCTTCCACCCACTTCTGGTTGAAAGCACCACGAGTACTGCGTCCATTAGTGGCAGGTCCACTATATGCGGTTTCGGGGCGCAGAGGGACAGGATGTCGATTATTATGGTTGTGGAGATGGTTATATCCCTGTGAATCGTACCCATGCGGCGTGTCCCGGGGCCCCGCAGAAGTGTGGGGTCTGCGTATGGACTTCAGTTTGTATTTGCTTCCGGGCTGTGGTGATGGTACAGAAGAAAACTTGTGGGTATGCCCATTTGATATTTCATGCTCGGCTTTAGCTACAGTGGGCGCCTTTTCTGGTACTTGGATGACTACAGGAGGGCTACGAGGCGGTGACGGTAGTTGAGTATTTGTATTTGGACGTTCTCGCTTTGATCGTTTTGGAGACCTAGACTTGGATTGGCTTGCGGCGGAATAGCGTGAAAGAGCCAATTGACGCTGAGCCTCATTGGTTGAGACTACAATAATTTCTTGGTCATCAAGCTCGACCGTTTCAGCACTCGAGGTAGGGGAGGAGATGATCAACTGAAACACATGATTAGGCAAACAACAGGGGGAAAATATGCAATATACCTTTACGCGAATAAAAAACCTGATAGAAGCCGTGCCGGTCTGAAGTGTTTCTCCAACTGTCCACCGGCTACTGGGACTAGTATCGGGCCAAGAAAAGGTGAGAGTCTGACGCCAGGTTCCGGTAGAATCGCGAGTGAAGCGATGGGAAGATTCAAGATGAGCAAAAATATGTGTCGTTGTTCGTTCGCTTGTGTGAGTCACTTGTGAGGTACTAGGCACTGATGATTGTTGTTGTGGCAGAAGAGGGCGGGTGTCAGATATCGAGGAAGAAGTCGAGGAAGGGCAGTGGAGATCGTTGGAAGAGGAGGCAGCGGATGCGAGGTGGTAGGAGTTCGCTGCGACAGAGTGATGATCATGAGAGTTTGTTTCTTGATTTGACGCGAGGTATGAGTGTGATGATAATGTAGGGGCTGATGGTGTGGAAGTACCAGAAGGGGATGTTGGGAGTTCTGAGAATTGTATTCTTCTTTCGACCACGGCAGTCGCACTGCGGATAGATACTGCTGAATCGAGTGGTTGAACAGTGACTTGTAAAGAAACGATGTCGAGAGGACCAACGGGTTTAGTGGGCAGTATAATTTGATAACGGAGTGAAGGGCCTCTAGACTTTGTGCTCATGGAAGATAGATGAGATGTTGGGGGCGGTGTTACTGGAGAGGGTGGAGACAAATTTCCTGGTAAGTCATGGCGGATCAAATAGAGATCACAATGTTTAAGCAAGCGAGAACCGATGCCCGGAACGGGAGCGTGATTGACAACTAAATGACATAAGACACGAGTTATTGAATGCTTGAAAGGACATACCGGCCTCGATTCGCCAACATATTCGATACTCTTGAAAGTAAAGAGCTGAGCTGGGACCAGCATTATGAACTGGGATGGTAAGTCGGAATGGGTGTTCTACATTTCCTATCTCTGCCCAATCTTGGCCATCTGGTTTCCTCCATAAGGTGACGGAGTGCTCTACCAAAATCTTGGATTGTGCTGTCCCCAACCGGCCATACCGAAATTCATAACACCGAACAAAGACTGTTATATCTTTGGCAGAGATATGTTTTCCATCCTGCTCGATTTCAGTGCGAACGGCTGAGTGAGGGGATATGAGAGGACGATAATAAATGAGAGAAAAATATACGGACCTCCTTCGAACTTGAGGGGTGTCAAGCCGAGGTAGCCACTGTGAGGAAAGAAACGGACGCCATGGTTGCCTTTGGGGGAGAGCAGTGTAAGCTTGACCATGAAGGGCGAGGGTAAGATTGGGGTTGAGGTTGAGTGGGACGAGGAGTAAAAGAGTGAAGGAAAAGAGAGTGATGGAGGAAGGATGTAAAGACGCCCAGAAGCAATTGGGATAAATAAGTGGTCAATAATTGGTACCAAGAATATTCATGACAGCGAGCGAGAAGCAAGAGCATCGCGACACGATCTCCCGATCTGTGATCCAGATCTACGGAGCACCGGCGTTGAATATAGCATTGTCACGCCGACAACTTGTCACACGGCTACTCCCGTTCGTTCAACTCTTGGAGTCTCGCTTCGACCACCACGCCATCAACCAGCCAAGGATGCCTTCGTCGTTCTATGTTCCGATTCTCCTTGCGGGTATGATAATTACGGTACGTTATCTTGTTGTTGCAAGTGTGTACCATCTGATGGGTTGTAGGGGTCGAGTAACTCATTGTGGAGCAAATGGCAGGTGCAGTGTTCAGCCTCACGTTCAGAGACACGGCATTGACGAGTGGAATAGGACATGCAATGCGTGGAGAATTGTAGCGATCCCAACCCTGCACACCACGTTCTTTACGAGCAACCCGTATGGCAAACTCTGCAGATGTTCCGTCCGTAGTCTTTGTGTTTATTGGTACCACGTTCTACGCTAACTATCCGTGCTAGTCGGCGAAATGCTTTGTCAGTCTCAGTTTCTACCTAATATTGGTATATTCATAGATATCGCATCTAGGCTTTCTCCCTGTCATTTATACGTGGCTCCGTGCACGTCAGCGTACTGCACCCGTATTTCTTCCGTCAGATTTAGAAGACGATGTTCATGAGTCCGGTAAAGTAGACCAAACTTGTGAAGAGCTACGAGGTTGGAAAATTCTTCTTTTATGGTTCCCCGCTGCTTGCGATCTTACCGGAACAACGGTCCGTCCATATTCCATATTTCCTGAATCCCTCTGCTCACAATTCAAACAGCTTATGAATGTCGGTCTCCTTTATACACCCGTTTCAATCTATCAGATGACACGTGGAGCCCTCGTTCTCTTCGTGGGCATCCTTAGCGTTATCTTCTTACACCGTCGTTTATGGCTCTATCAGTACGTCCTCTCTTCTTCTCCCATTCCATACTCAACGGTTGTTTCTACACAGATGGGTCTCTCTTTTGACTGTCATGGCCGGTGTCTCGCTCGTAGGATACAGCGGTTCCCTTATCAAGGACGCTGTACACTCCACCTTGCATCTCTTAGGGTCCGACCAGTCAGAACCTGAAGTCACCAAAGTCCTCGTTGGTTAGCCATCTCATTACTTTCTATGGAAGTTTATACTGATCATATGTAGGCATCTTCTTCGTTCTCTTCGCCCAGGTGTTGTAAGTATTTCATAATCCCTTACTTCAGAGACTAAGAATAGCTCCCACCCAGTACGGCAACACAGTTCGTTGTAGAAGAGAAGATCATGGCCCGTTACTCCGTGGCACCTTTGGTTGCTGTGGGCTACGAGGGCTTATTCGGCGCCCTCACCATCATCATGTGCATGCCCATTCTCGCTATGCCGTCAATTGCTTCCAGCTCGCCTTTCTTTGACCTTCCTAGGGGTTGGTACCAATTCGTTAACACCCCCAGTGTCCTTTGGTCGGGTATCGTCATCGCCATCAGTATCTCATTGTTTAATTACTTTGGCTTGAGTGTCACAAGGCATGTAAGCGCCACCGCAAGGAGCCTGACAGACACCTGCAGAACGCTCTCGATCTGGCTAGTCAGCCTTGGACTAGGCTGGGAGAAACTTCTTTTCCCCATTTCACTCCTCCAAATACTGGGATTCTCCTTCTTGGTGTAAGAAAGTTCTTTATACAGTTCTTACGTGGTGCTCACATGTCTTTTATATTCTAGGTATGGCACGGTACGTCTTACTCGCGTTCTCATGGTACTTATTGTTTAACGTGGTCTTCTAGTTCCTTTTCAATGGTTTGGTCAACCCTCCCTCTTTCATCCACCCCCCCTTGGCCCTAGAGGAGACGGTGGGTGGCGAAGCGGAAGAAGGGGAGGCCTTGCTCGCTTCACAGCATCTGGACGATACTGCTGCTCTACCTGTTGACCTTGGTCAAGGTGGCTACGATGTTTTGCCCAAAGATGTCAGAGTACATGCGCAAGGTGTCTCGTCAGAAGATTGAGGCAGGATCCACCTATATGATACTTACACCTATTATTCACATTGATCCGTGGACATATGCTGATGCGGACGCCACACACAATTGATGCGCACTGCCGTTTATTAATTTTGATGCCGTTCACGGACCCGCATGTGACCAACAACTCTAGCACCATATGGTCTTCGACACACGATGCATTTTTCGGATATACGGATAACAATTGAACAAGGTCAAGCAAGCCTCCTGCCTTTCAAGTCTCGCAGTTCCCCGAACGAGCAACATTTCATCATCTAAAGTGGTGGCGAGCTCTTGTGCTGAGAACCAAGCGGCGAATTTCGGCAATTTGCACGTCTACTCTTCCTGTCTTCTCTCATATCAGTAAAAGGCTGGACGCTGTACACCGGATACAGGCTGGCTTCGACAAGTTCTTCCACTGACACGAGGCAGAACGCTAACCTATAAGTACAGCGGAGTCGAGGCTTCTCGAAGGTACTACGGGCGCGAACAGAAAGTGCATATTTCCACTACATACCTTGGCAAACTTTATTACTCATTCAAAAGAGGCTCTAACCACTTATCAACGCTGCGTGCATGCGGTGAAAGGTGGCGCGTGCTCAAAATCGCCCAACTGGAAATGGCGCTAACTACTGGCAGCGACTGAGTATATATATATATACTTCCCTAGGAGGTTTACTCGGATTTATGCTTAATTCGTGACTGCGGGTTATAGAATCACCTTAATAGACTTGGCCGTTGTTTGCTGCGATAAGTATCTACGAACCGAGTTCTCTGTCACCAAAAAGTTATTTGTATTGTGCAAGGTTGTACACTCCAATAAAACGTGTTTTAAATTGGCGATCACCGTAGGTCCGAAAGTCGCACGAATTTGGTTCATGTTTCAACCGCCAGCGAAACATGTTTACGCTGTGCCAGTTGCTAAAGTCTTTTGAGAAGATGAACCCAATGGAGGATGTTAAGCATGCTTACGGATAGTGTGTCACAGCTTGAACACTCCATATTAGGTCATTCGGAGGACTCGTTGTCGCTGTCGCTGCTAGTGGTATCCACAAGGGCCGCATCTTCTAAATTCTCAATGTTCCAGCCAATCATCGATTTCGTAATGGCCAAAACTTTCAATTGCTGTGCGATGTCTAATATAATCTCATCGCTGCGGAAGTAAAGATGTTTATATTAATACTGGCCATTCCATCGGAAGATTAAAGTGACTCCGCACCTCGCAGACGCTTGGATCCAAACGCAGAAATCATCGACCCAGATTTTGTTATACACGTAATACACTTCATGATGGTCCAAAACGTGTTTCATCTCTAATAAGTAGCGCGTGATCATTCTTCTGCCTTTTGCCAAAATAGCTGCTACATCATTCCGACAAGCATCGGCCATTGCGAAAGAGCGATAGAGAGGGAACGCAAGGGAACGCCGATAAGACGGCATCAAAGCTGAAGCGAGATCATGATCGGTGAACCCCGGCGTGGGGATAGACAGAGGAACGTTTTCTGAAGATAGGTATGGAGGGGGATCCAGCGCTGAGAACGCAGGGATGAGTGAGCAAATTGTCCAAGCGCTTTCAGGGGTAGGGTCATGCTGTGTCGTGCGCCTGTCATAGGCATATGCAAATAACAAGGTCAACAGTGTCAGATACAGGTTTCGCTGCTGTAATGCTGTCGGCAAGTCTGTTATAATGTTCTCAGCGTGGATACATAATCAAGCGTGGATACCGCTTACATTCTTTGCGCGGTAAATTGAGCATCGTCATGTTCTCGCTCTCGGTGAATATACATTCGGCATCTCTGAGCCCGGGATCTTCCCAGGCAAGAAGTTCTTGGATGTATTCATCATCCATATAGTCCGCCCTGCAGGAGGAGGCGAATGAGCGTCCAAACTGATGCCTTGTTCAGGGATCCTACATGTAATGCTCTTCATCCCATTTTTTCTCTTCGTGTTGCAATCTTTTCGCTCGTCGTTCTTCTGGTAAGTAACTCTCAGCCTCACTCCCAAGTTCATTGACATCATTTTCTGTGTGAGCGACGTGGGTGAAGTACCCTGTGTACATATCCAAGAACCCATAGTATCTCTTTGTGGATAGCTGTAATGGGGAAGAGGATCCTGCGATAGTCTGGGGAAACTGCCAGTCATTGTCAGCAGCTGGAAATGATTTGAGGATATTTGTTGAAGCATGAAGTCATCGCACGCACCTTCCAATATTTCCCGTTGTTCGAGCGAGATTGCATCAGTTAAATCCACAAGTTCTTCCAGCTCGCTTTGTGATGAAGCCTCAGACCCGATGACTTCTATGGCCGGTTGTTTTGGAACTTCGACATGACGGGGAGCCAGTAGCTTTGCTAGTAAGTCCAAGTCAGGGAATTCTTGTCCCTTGACCTCTTTAGTCAGTGTAACTGTTAAATATCCACTGCTTGGATCATAGGTTGCAGAGGATTGGTCGTCTTCGAGAACCGAATGAGGAAAGTTTATACGAAGAAAGTAAGGGTTGATATGAACGGTCAACAAAGTTTCATCGACGTTGATCTCCACATCAGAGGCCTACTTTGAGGATATCATTGATCAGGCTTGGGAACACAAGTGCTGCACAGACGTACTCTTACTGATGGGCAATAGATTGATACTACCACTGCTTCAAGAGTTTGGGTACAGTGAAATCGCGGAGTTATCATGTTGCGACGACCTCCGAGTCAACTTGAAACACCGAGAAAGCGACGGCTATTCAAGTTTTGTGAAAGACCCGGTGAATATATCTGATCCTAGGATCTGATCTAGACGGTTTTCTCGACTAGTAGCCACGATTTGTTGCTCGGAGTTTGGATGGTGAAATCAAAACAAGTTTCAGAGTCATGTGTGATGACTCGTGCGGCCCACCTGCAGGTCAAACTTTAAGTAGTACTACTTATACCTTAGGCTAATCAGTGGATGTTTGAATCACTTTATCCCTCGAGACAAACATGGACCCTCAGGTATGTGAAACGTTGCATAGCAGGTTTAGACGCTGATGAAGTTATTTGCTTGTAGAAATTTACGGCGTATCCATCTCTCGCCGCTGTAGAACAACTCATCATTCGCGAGAAGCGAGGCAACTGCGTCCCAATATTTATCCAGCTTCCTGCAGATCTCATCACGCCATGCATGGCATATCTTCGAGTAGCCAAAGACTCCAAGTACAGCTTCCTACTGGAGTCGGTTATTGCGGGGGAGAACATCGCCAGGTACAGCTTCGTCGGCGCAGGTAGGGTGCCCGCTCCGATGTTACGGCTTTCAACGTTAATTGACGCGCATTAGACCCACTGAAGGTCATCAAAACTGGACCGAACGAGGAGTTTCAGGGAGATCCACTTTCTGCTCTACAACGCGAGCTCGCCGTTCACCAATATGTGAAAATTCCTGAAATTCCAACTTTCACCGGAGGCGCGATCGGATACGTGTCCTATGACTGTATACAGTACTTCGAGCCCAAGACTGCTCGAGAACTCAGTGATCCTTTGTCTATCCCGGAATCTTTGTTTATGATTTGCGACACCCTCCTCATTTACGATCACCTATTCCAGTCAATCAAGATCGTCTCTCATGTCTTCTATCCAAAGATGCCGGCACCACGAACCTTCCTTTTGTATATCAAACTGCTCAGTCAAAAATCCGTCGGCTAGCAAAAGTACTTCTGAGTCACACAACTCCCGAAGTACTGCAGCCTCCAATTACGTTAGGAAACCAAGCCGTATCCAACATAGGCAAGGAAGGCTACGAGTCATTTGTAACCAAGCTCAAGGAGCACATTGTTGCCGGTGATATCATCCAAGCAGTTCCATCTCAACGCCTTGCTCGTCCAACAGATTTACACCCTTTTAATGCATACAGACATCTTCGCCAAGTCAACCCTAGCCCTTATATGTATTATTTGGATTGCGGAGAGCTCCAGATAGTCGGCGCCAGCCCAGAGACTCTTTGTAAAGTGGAAGCAAACAAGGTCTACAACCATGCCATTGCTGGGACCGTCAAGAGAGGAAAGACTCCAGCAGGCTAGTCTTAATGTCTTCACGAGGCAAGCTATGTTGACTCCTTTTGCAGAGGACAACGAGCTTGCCAAACAGCTCCTTTCATCTGAAAAGGACCGAGCGGAACACATCATGCTTGTTGATCTTGCCAGAAACGATGTCAATCGGGTTTGCAAACCGGAGACCGTGAAAGTTGATCATCTTATGGCGGTACAAAAATTCAGTCACGTCATTCATTTAACGTCCCAAGTTTCGGGAATGCTGAGGGAAGGGCTCTCGAGGTATTTCACTGATAATCGTGTTTCCTGTAATTGCCAACAGTTTCAACAGGTTCGATGCTTTCCGCTCCATATTTCCCGCGGGAACTGTATCGGGAGCTCCTAAGATCAAAGCAATCGAACTGGTTGCCGAACTAGAGCGCGAACGGAGGGGAGTTTATGCCGGTGGCGTCGGACGTTTCGACTTCGCTGATGACGAAATGGACACATGTATTGCTATTCGTACAATGACATTCAAGGACGGGGTTGCCTACTTACAGGCAGGAGGAGGCATCGTTTTTGACAGCATGGAAGACGAGGAGTATGTAGAGACCCTCAACAAACTGGGAGGCAATCTACGAGCACTGATTGATGCAGAGAGTAAGTCTTGTTACTAAATTATGAAGTTGCGTGTACTGAAGGAGGATACAGAATACTGGAGTGAGGTTCAAGCGTCACATTCATTACAACGTTGATCCCACGTAGTAAAACTAATCTCTGTCAGCTACATATCGTGTAGTACCTCGTTCTTGAGCACGCATGTATCGAGATTGTCTTAGCTCTTTAATCTGCTCTTCTCTGTCTCGCAAAACTCTCCCTTCTCTGCCAGCTATGCTGAGAACACCTGCAATTAACTCTGCTGCTCGAGGGCTCTCGTCATTTGCAGGAATGGCATACATGACCACGCGAGGATCGACGTTCGAGTCGACAATGCCGATAGTAGGAATATGCTGTATTGCGCATTCGCGGATGGCATGGATATTAGCCAGAGGATTTAGGAAGATGACTAGGTCGGGTGTAACACGTTGCCCTCTTGCGACGTCAGACCCAAACAATTGCAGTTTGTTCGTAAGTGTGCCAGGCAGCCATCTTTCGCCAACATGGAAAGCCTGTGGTCCAATCCTCTCTGCGGCTTTGCGTACAACAGCACGCAGATCTGGACGAGTGCCCACGAAGACAACTGTGCCATCCCTTGCAACGACAGCACGGGTGAGGTTCGCAGCCCTCCGCAACAGTGGAAGGGTCGAGTCAAGGTCAATTATGGTGATACCAGCGCGAACACCGTACGCGTAGGGCATAAAATTTGGATTGAGCAAAGATTTAGCGTGTCCAAAATGTGCACCAGCAGCTATTAGTGCGGATAACGTTGCTTCAGACGGAGCGAGAGGCCGGTGCAACTGGTGGTGGGGTTGAAAGGTGTTATCTCGCGTCACATTAGAGCCATGCTCGCTGAATAGATCGGCTACACAATATAATAAGCAAATGCTAGTCTCCTACACGAAGAAAGACACTGACCGAGCATTTTGAAACGTATCCGGCGGTCTTGCAACGACTGCCAATCATCTGGTGACTGCAGAGGAAATGGTTGGTCACTGGAAGTGAATACATTTCGTCTATGTTGTAGGACCGAAAGCTGGCTTCTACGCATACATCTTGTGGCAGAAAGCCATGGTCTTAGACCTGCCTTGGTAGACATGTCGAAGAATGGGTCGTGCTGGTGGCAGTGCAAAATTTGATACCACTGGTCAGGATGCTTACTTCAGCTGGGTGATCGATTTTTTTCGATTGCTCTTCTGCCCATCACCACCACCCGGCTTCATCTCTCTTTACTTTTTGTTTGTCTCTTTAAAAAATGGAAGACGCATTTGACGGCGCTGTTGGCATTGATCTCGGTACTACCTACTCGTGAGCATCCACAATTTGCTGTCATCATCATATTGACATCGTCTCTTAGCTGTGTGGGTGTATGGCAAAATGATCGAGTTGAGATCATCGCCAACGATCGTAAGTTTCTGTGCCGTACGACGAGTTTACACATTCATCTGTGTGTGTTCTGCAGAGGGTAACCGGACAACTCCTTCATATGTCGCATTCTCTGCGGAGGAGCGTCTAATCGGTGATGCTGCAAAAAATCAGGCTGCTATGAACCCCCGCAACACAGTCTTTGATGCCAAGCGTCTCATCGGCCGTCGTTATGAGTGAGTATCTCATGAAGTATCCTTCGATAGCCTTGATGACATGCGAAAAATTAGTGACCCCGACGTCAAGAAGGTTAGTATGAGGATCCATAACTGAAACGCGATGCTAAATATATCACTCCAGGACATGACTCACTGGCCTTTCGAGGTCGTAGAGAAGGAGGGTTCACCTTTGATCAAGGTCAACTACCTTGGCGAGGAGAAAGTTTTCAGCCCTCAGGAGATCTCGTCAATGGTTCTCACTAAAATGAAAGAGATTTCGGAGGCAAAACTTGGCAAGACTGTCACCAAGGCTGTCGTCACGTGAGTCGCTCTTTTCGTATCATGTGTGAATTTGTTCTGACGCGAATGAACAGCGTCCCTGCCTACTTTAACGACTCGCAACGTTTGGCAACCAAAGATGCTGGTACCATCGCTGGCCTTGATGTTCTCCGTATCATTAACGAGCCCACTGCCGCTGCCATCGCGTATGGTTTGGATCGTCAATCAAAAGCGGAGAAAAACGTTTTGATCTTCGATCTTGGTGGAGGAACTTTCGATGTCTCGTTGCTCAACATCAGCGGTGGTGTCTTCGCAGTTAAGGCCACCGCAGGTGACACTCACTTGGGTGGTGAGGATTTCGACAACACCCTCTTGGATCACTTCAAGAATGAGTTCAAGAGGAAGACGAAGCACGATATCTCTGAGGACCCCCGTGCACTCAGGCGACTCAGAAGTGCTTGCGAGCGTGCCAAGCGCACCCTCTCGAGTGTCACCCAGACCACCGTTGAGGTTGATTCGTTGTACCAGGTTAGCATGTCACGTGTGCACCCGAAAGTTGGATTTTATCTCATACATCCATAACTAGGGTGAAGACTTCTCGGCCAACATTACTCGTGCCCGTTTCGAGGAGATCAATGCCGCTATGTTCAAGTCGACCATCGAGCCCGTCGAGAAAGTGCTCAAGGATGCTAAGATGCCTCGTGAGAAGGTCGATGATATCGTTCTCGTTGGTGGATCCACTCGTATTCCCAAGATTCAATCTCTCGTATCGGAGTACTTCGGTGGACGCCAGCTGAACAAGTCGATCAACCCCGATGAGGCTGTTGCCTACGGTGCCGCTGTGCAGGCTGCTGTTCTCACTGGCCAGACCTCAGAAAAGACTGCGGACCTTCTCCTTCTTGACGTGGCTCCTCTCTCGCTTGGTGTTGCTATGCAGGGCGATGTCTTTGGTGTCGTTGTCCCCCGTAACACACCCATTCCCACCAACAAGTCGCGGACATTCACGACTGTTGAGGACAACCAGACGACTGTCACCTTCCCTGTGTAAGGCGCATGCTCGCCTATCTCCCAAACGTTATGCTGACGTCTTGACCTCCAGGTATGAGGGCGAACGCACTCAATGCCGTGATAACCGTCTGCTTGGTGAATTCGAGCTGACTGGTATTCCTCCTATGCCCCGTGGACAGGCTGAGCTTGTTACCACCTTCGAGGTTGATGCCAACGGTCTCCTCAAGGTCTCCGCACAAGACCGAGCTTCTGGCCGCAAGGCATCTATCAGTCAGTGGCGGTCTTCAGATTTGTTCTGCAACTGACATTTTTGTTCAGGCATCACCAACTCCGTTGGTCGTCTATCGTCGGCCGAGATCGACCAGATGATCAAGGACGCTGAGCAATTCAAGCAAGCTGACAAGGAGTTCTCTTCACGTCATGAGGCGAAGTCCGACCTCGAGGCTTACATCCACCAGGTGGAAGGCACTATCACCTCGCCTGAGATCGGCATGAAGCTTAAGCGTGGCGCTAAGTCTCAGGTTGAGACTGAGCTTGCCCGTGCACTTGAAAAGCTCGAGATCGAGGACTCGTCAGCAGATGAGTTGAGGAAGTCGCAGCTTGCCATCAAGCGGGCACTTCAAAAGGCAACTGCTGGCATCCGGTAAACGATAATGATTTTTGATGTGTAGTATGCAAAATAGAGCAGCGTAGTATTTCCATGATGTTGTGTATGTTGTTCTCCCTGTTTTGCATACCAAAATTTGGCGTTGTATTCGCAATGACATTTCTTTTTGCTTTCGCACTGCATTATGTCTGGCAATGTTCAGACCTAGACCAAGGAGACCACCTCCACAACTCATTAGAAGTAACACCCAACAGCACCAGTCCCTGACACTATTTGATCTTTTATAATTGCACTAATACAACGGCCCGCTGGGCATCCTGGCAGGACCCTCTCACTTCCATGTCACTCGTCTCCTGCTCCAAAACAGAAACCTTTCTTATTTACACTGTGAAGTAGCTACGTGTCTTTCTTTATCTTGTTATGCTGATACCAACATATAGGCAATTGTCTCGTTCTTGTCTCCCTAAATTCGTGTCCTCCGAGGCACCAAACCATGATCGGTATATCTTGGCATGTAATCATTGTCTCTCCCAGCATCTGAATGGGGCTTAAGTCCCATACGAGAACGTTGTTGTCGACCGTGCTACGCATATGGTGTGGACAATACCCGATTTTCTTTCTGCTCCGGTGGGTACAGGCACACTATCGAGCGCGCTGTAACATAGTTCATCACTGCTGTGGAGTGAAACTGCAAGATTGGCGCGAGCACACACATACCCAAGCATACCCTTGGGCCGTGGGTGCGGGTAAGTGGTGGGTATGGGTACGGGTAAGCTTGTGGATACCCACAGGTTACCCATGCCATTGCCTACTCATAGAGATTGACAACTGCTAGTTTTACATTGCAACTGATCTCGCGAAAGGGTATGTTGGAATTTACTGGATACACCAAAACATAACATTGTAGACGCCCGCAGGTACATACTTGAATGTACAACAAAGTAACCAGGAAGCATACATATCTAACTCTAAATCTCTTCTGGTTCTGAAATCGAGAAGCTGTCGATGCCAATTATAAGGCATAACGTGCCTAATATTTGATGTACAGATTCAGTGCTGTAACACAAATCAAAAGAACCGCACTTACTCGGAAGTAGCTTCCCTTCAGTTGTGTCATAGGAACGGCGATGAAAAACATGGCAATCACAAGCCTATAAAAATCGTCAGACTCTTCGAGTGTGTCAAGCGATATCACTTGCGCTGCTTCAACACCAAACACCATTAATCCTCCAGATTTTGTAGCCCATGGGACTTGGAAATATGCGACTGCGAAACCTAGGCCACAATCGTGAATATTGGACAAATTATGCGTCGTTGTAACTCACCGCCCAATGATCTTGCAAGGTTTAACAGGGCACTGACTTCGCCCTAGAAGGGGAGGTCAAATCGCTGAAATGCAAATAAGTATATATGTGTTACTCACTGCCCTACGAGGGAAGCAGTCATTACAATATGCATCTAATAATGATTTATCCCACGACACTTGAAATATTGGATCCGAGACTTACACACTGCAACAGTATTGAGGGTGATTGCAACGATCGCAATGCCCCAGCCCATGATGAGAGCGGCTTCACTGAGATTTTGTATCCCAGCGCCCAGCGTCAAAAATCCACAGATATAAAGCGGCATGGCTAAGTAACAGGTCCTACACAAGTTCTCAGCTCTAACCTTAGACCATCAGTTGAGTTTGCATACCACAAGCGGCTCTCGGCCTCAAAGAAACCACCGTTTTTGCGAATATGCAGATCCATAATGAATTCATTGATGTAACGTCCAATGAACTCGCCAAGAAGGACGGCGACCTAAAAATTCCATGCTGAGAACAGTAATCGTGCATACTTCATAGATGGAAAAAACTTGCAATTGGAGTCGCATACGCTCCAGCCACGGCATATTGGTTGAAGCCAAATCCGACGGGAGGAGGAGATCCCATGAAGACAACATTTGTCGTCTACAAAAGTCGATAAGTTTATTACTGCAGGTCGAAACAGAAACGCTCACGTTCACACCGATCGAGAACCCGAAAACCAATGCCTTTTGAAAAGGTCAGCAAATGTACTAAGTATGGTCAGCAATGCAATTCATCTCACCTCAAAGAGAACTACGAAGAAAAACTGAGGACGCCAAACAACATCCAAAGATGCCAATAGAACTTCCGGCCATCGTGGTCTGTATTTTGCCATCTTGTACCCAGTGATGCCTATCAAAGTTTCAAATCGATATTGCAGTCCCGTAGAAATTTCCAGTGGCTTCGATGCAAGGTGACGATCATACATACTGATTCAGCAAAAGTCAACGCCACTGCCCTAAGAAACAATATAACACAGCGTACGTCTCTTCCATGAAAAACACAATGAGAAATAAGACGATGGCGCTGTAAAAAGATCCTATAGCATAGGCCCATCTCCAGCTATCCAACAATTGATGAATATTCTGAATCAAGGACAGCATATGTAAGACGTACCTCACACGCGCTACAAGAAAGCCAAATACAAATGGTGATAGATAAGGGGATCTATAAGATAGTAGTGAGAAATGTTTCTCCCAATAAAGGAATTCATTTCTGACAGAACGAAACCCGAAGTCCAGATGTTCAGCTTCCGTGCTTGAAGATGGAAGGGGAAGATATCCGTCACGACATAAAGACCCTTGGAGGTTGGTAAATGTTGAAGCTACCATGAGAATTGCCACTAATCGTACTGTCACCTGGGGACACGTTCTGAAACCGCAGTCAGTTTACCGCAGGCATGGATAACATGACGACCTGCCCAAAGAATGCGGTTAGGCAACGCATCCCTTCATCAAAAGTTAACATTGTCCAATAAATACCAAATTATTGTGTAAATACCTGCAAAGGTGGCTAGATTCGGCGCCAACGTGGTACCAATCAAGAATGCAAACGCAAAAAGCTGCGCTCAAGGTTTCAGGGTTCATATCGGCTAAATCATTGGAAATATATACCTGACTCCAGAAAAGTACTGGCAGCCGACCATACCGTCTCATGAGCATGACCCAGAAGATGCCTCCCCAACCTGGACTACAGATGAGAAGAGGCTATTCTCATATAATGGTGTGATCTCACCCAGAAGGAAGATGCTCCAGCTTCAGGGAATTGTCATTGAATGTGAGTAACGATCGATGCATCACGCACTTTGATGTCAGATCGTTGATGACACCCGAGGTCGTGTCATAAGTTTGAGCGAGGCCAAATATCGACGCAATTCCTGCCAATAAAAGTATTCCATGATGACACTACTATGGATATTGAGCGAGGGCGAGATACATACCAATTCCAGAGTCGAAGTCAGGTACCACTGCAGACATTGTAATGATGATCAGGTGCACAGTCTTGCGAAAATCGGTCCACTACAAATGAATAGCTTAGTGTTAGTGAAAGGAGCACGATAATGAGAAATGACGAACGTTTTGTGGGTCGTTCGGGTCGTCAGCGGGTTGAGGCCAGAGAACCTTCGACCCATCAGGGCTAAGCTTGAGCCTAGAGGCCATTACCTCTCCAAACTCGACCTTCGCCTGTCTAGTGAGTCACGAATGAGTCACGATAGACTTAGGATATATGGGAGCAACAGCCACATACTCGGGGTCCACTACTAAACGGCCAGAGGCCCGCTCGTAGTAAGCAACAAAATCTACGTCGTCGGTAACATCGACTTTGATTGAGTCATCTGCCTTCGTTTCTGAGTGCAGCCGCTGGGAGCTAACATGCTCTAGAGCCATTGGTAGTGGGGGTGAGAGTTGGGAAGTAAATTGTAAGGTATCGTCACTCGGTAGTACCCATCATCAATTTAAAGCGCAGTACTTACGATGACGGTGTATTATAAGAAAAGCTTTTAATCTCGGGGGCAGATTGTGAGGAATGGACAGCCTGTTAAGGTGTGTTCGAGCGAAAGGTACCCTGATATTACTCGGATCTTTGCTCGGTTTCTGCGATCCGAGCAAACAAGGTATAGACAACAGACCCTAACAGACCTCAAAAACAATATTGAGTTAGGCTCCCTTTTTTCCTTCGCGATACACCGCAGGATCACCCATTTTGAGGACTATGACCCATGGCACATCGGTGAACCGCTCGACATATTCTCAGGACATCTCCATCCAAAGCTACAACAAAACACTTCAACCTGGTTACTAGATAGCCTTGTACTTTCATCCAGAACTGTTTTAAATTGGCACATTAATGGCAATTATTGCACGAATACATTATCCAAGGATTAACTGCCACGGAGTCAGCAACGGGCGTAGTGATGAAAACAGGCACTGACGAAAGAAAGACAAATAACTGAGCAAGACGCGGATTAACAGTGAAGCAAGAGACGGGGGAAGAAAGACGAAACGTGAATAATCATGCGAGCGGTTGGTCTTATTGGTGTGAATGATGTGAGAACGTTGATACTGGTAGTTTGTTTGCTCAGGGATCCGGGATGAACCGAGGATGACAACTTGAAGGTACCAGATGCGGCAAACCGAGGAGTGATCAGGGGCTTAACGTTAACGCTCAGCGCTCAGTGGAAGAGAATCGACCACATACTAGTAGGCGCCAGGTACAAGGATCCAATTAAAAGCTATGACATATGATACCTAGTTAGACTCGTAACCAGTCTGGACTACGTCTTTGAGATGTTAAATACGTATTTGCAGCTGCGACGTCGTGTGTTTTACCTGCCTCGGATCCATCAGTGCAATGGTTCCACCGTGACCAAGCACTCTGACAACTCTGTATTGCCCCTCTTGTCTGCTTCATTAGCCGCATCAACAAATGCCTGTCATACGCCCTCTCGCTTTGCAGGCCATTTGTTGGCCTGTAACTCAGTTTACGCCCGACATCCTGGGCGGACTAGGTCGCACAGTATGAAGGATTTGTGGGTGAATTGTCTTGATGATCATATCATACTCGATTTTCGATGCACGCGAATACAATAGGCACTATGCTACTCCGAATGAGTGATGACACAAGGTTAAAGCTTATGCTAGTAAGAACACCATAACGAACTGAAAAAACGCAAACAAGACGAGCATAGATGAGTTTATGAGTTCATAGCAGCCAAGTATACGATAACAGTAAACTTACCAAAACTCTGCCTCACCCACTGTCATCGTGCTCTGCTTCTTGTTCAGGAGCTCCCCATCCTTCATCCTCATCTTCCTGCTCGCTGTCTTCATCTCCCCGCTTCCGCTTCCCATTCACACTTTTAGCATGCTTGAGAGCCTCACCATCCGCAATGGTCACACACGTCAGCCGCGTGCCTTTTGTGTCGTACTCAGCCACAGGTGGTATCTGCAGCGTTTCACTTCCAGCTTTTTGGTCGGCGGGCAGTGAAGCCAGGTCGTAAACATGGATTTTACCGTCAGATGAGACGGTGCACAGGATGATCGTCGAGAGGGATGCATTTGCCTTGGTTGATCTGGGTAGTGCGAGAGGAAGAATCTCGACCGCTTTTACACTACAAAAACATGATAAAAACAAAGTCGGAACGAATGCATTGTACGTACCGATTAGAGTGTCCAATCATTTCTGCGATGACAGTGGGCATTTTTTCTGGGTCATCTGGAATGTCGTAGATCGACAATTTCTTGTCTTCTGCGCCAACGAGTAATAATTCTCCAGAGCCATTCACTCGTTTACTAAACCGAATTGTATGTATTCGGGAGGGATGCGTGATTGTGTGACGAAGAACCATGTCCTAAGTGCGATCAGATTGAATTTACAGATAGACAGAAAAGTTATGATATGCACTCACGACTGTGAATAAATCGATCGTATTTTGAGATTGCACGACGAATAACGAGCCTGTCGCTGACCACCGCACGGTTTCCCCCTCTAAACCATCAAATGAGGTGAGAAATGAATCCGGGGCCGAGGGAAACAAACACTTACCTTTCCCCAGCTTTGTGCTAGCAGATCCTTTTCCGCGCATGAGATCCCACATGCGCAGCGTATTGTCTTTTCCTACGCTTAGCGCGACTTTATTAGACGGATGCACCGCCGTAGAATTGACTCGTCCCTTGTGACCTTTGAGGGTGCGAAGCACGACCCAGTCGCGTGCATGAAAAAGACATAATGTACCGTCTTCAGACGCTGAGAGAAGATGCGAGCGTGAGGGGAATTGAAGCTGTGTGATGGATCCTGTCGCAACAATTTGTTAAAAGGCAGATGTATAGAGCACTGTAACTCACCTTCGTGGTGCATGAGCCCGCCGATCTCTTTTTTTCTACGCAAATCCCAGACCTTTATAACCTCATCTGCACTCCCAGTAGCAAGCCACTTTCCTCCGTTCGGAGACGCGGCGACGGCCTTGATGCACGATACATGTGCGGGGAATATAAAGATGGGTTTCAACTCGAACTTGTAGCCATCGTTGATCTCATCGAGCGAGACAGATCCATCAAGGCCGTATAGCAGTTTTTCGTAGGAGCCAGCGATTACCTTGAAGAAGGTTGGGAGAGTACTGACCGGTTTCGTAGATTGTTTTGCTTTTTGCTTGCCCTTAGTGGAGGGCACGAGATGGTGGTCGCTTTGGGCAACCGGTTTTACTTTCTTGTTTTCTTTTGGCGAGCTCGCAAGTCTCGCTCTTTTGGAGCTTGTTACTGTGGCCATCTCGGTGTACTTAATATTTTTCTCCAGTTCCAGGACCCTGTAAAGGGTACCGGTTTGGGTGGTACATCCCGGACGTTTTATATTGTTTGTTGATGTTTGATTGTTGTTACGCCTTCTGCTTCCGACTGATCATAGACATCATGGCCTGCGCGTCGCATTCTCGTCTAGACTTTCTTGCTCGTCCTGTGGCGTTGGTAATGTCTGATCAAGAGCTTCCCAATGATGGTCATTTAGTTGTATCGTCGTGCGTTTGACGCAAGTAATATTTTGGGTATCATGGGGTATCTCAAGAATGTCTGCCTGTACTATGTGGCTCGAGCGAGCCTGCTGATTGCAAGACTCGACGTGGTCAATGCTTCATCACATTGAAGGGTGAACTCAAATGAAGGTTATATATGAATCACTTCTACCGAATTAATTTGAGACAAATCTTGAACTGTATACTACATAATCTACGCTTGACTCGGAGGTGTTTGTGCTTGTTGAATTTCAAAGCTTCCGCACTGCTAACGTTCCCTACTTTCATTTCATTAGTACATATTATGTGTGCGATGAGCTCTTCCTCAAGCACAGCCATTTCCACTGGAACCAGCAGGACAAAAATACTCTTTCTAGGTATGAGAAGGTGAATCTTCACGTTTTCTCCTTTTGCCAGTTCTTACTTATCACAGGAGTGGAAAGACCTCCATACTCCAAGTCCTCTTCGATGATCTTCCAGTCAAACAGACTTTTTACCTCGAGCCTACCATGCGCGTCGCAAAGCATTTCATCGAGTATGTCCTTGTCCATGACTTCTGCTCGTACCTTTTACTGAACATCGTTTCTCAGCACCGTCATCCCGTTAGAGATATGGGACTGTCCAGGAAACGTCACCGTCGACACACTCGGCGCATCTCTCGCCGATTTCTCAACTATAGTTTTTGTAATAGATATCCGAGTACGTATGCTGAATTCATCCACTGACTACCATTCTCATCCAGATCCACAGGATCTCTACCAACATCCCGTCTCAAAGCTCGTAGAGTTTATTGTCGCTGCATGTCAAATCAACCCAGATATAAATTTGGAAGTGTTTGTGCACAAAGCGGAAAGACTTCAGGAGGACGACAAGATCGGTACGCCAGCCCCGCATACATCTTTACTCTTGCATGAAACAGCACGTAGAAAACTTCCGCCAGATACACGAACGCGTTATGGACCGCCTCGTAGACGAATCTCCCGAATTTGAGCAATTCCCTCTCAATTTCCATCTCACCTCCATATACGACCATTCTCTTCGAGAGGCGTTCTCTCGTGTGCTTCATAAACTGATTGATTCCCTACCATATCTCGAAGAACTATTAAATGTCTTTTGCTCTGTATGTGCCTTCGTTGCCACTTATCTCCACGGGCACATCTCATTGCTTGCAGAACACAGCGTCCCCAAAAGCTTTCCTATTCGACACATCCAGTAAAATCCACGTTGCAACAGATACCTCACCCGTTGACCAAGCCACGCACAATCTCTGCTGCGACTACCTATCCATGCTCAACTCTTTCGGACCTCTCTACAAGTACGTACGTATCATAAATTTCCCTCCCGCTCTCAAACCATTCCACCAGGTCCAACGCTAATGACCCACGGACGAGTCGGTTTTCCCCAACACCAGCACCAACGCCCCCACCTACAGCCACGACAGCAACTCCCACCTCCGGCACCAGTCCTGTCGGAACGCCGCCACTCACCAGCTCATCGACATCCCCCGTTCCACCCTCAAAGCCTCACTTCTACCCCTCAGCAGCGACGTCGCTCTCACCTTCACGCCCAGGAACTACGCTCACGTACCACCTCGTCACGCCGCACCTCGCATTGCTGGCACTCCTTCCGACGACGGTGTATGATATGCGCAGGGGTTTGGTGGAGTGGAATGTCGTGTGGTTCAGGGAGGGCGTTAGGGAAATATGGGTATCTGGGCTGCGCGGGGGTTTGGAGGATACTGGATAATTCACTTAGCCGTTGTGCGTGTTTACTGTCCGGCAACTAGTTCCTTCCTTTTTCTGATAGCAGGATGGTTGACGGACATTGTAGGTTCGACTTGGGAAGGGGTAGACACATCAGCAAGAGTTTCATGCATCATATGATTCAGGAACTGGGAGAAAGACGGTCTTGAACTTTGGGTGCCAAAAAGTAGGACGTGTGTCGCCAGAGCCAGAGCCATCGGCTGGTGTATGCAGGGTGCCGATTGCTTTGGAAGATAGGTAAATGCCATGCCGTGTCCATGCACTTGTACTTCTCACTCAAGAGAGCAGATTTCATCTGTTCTGGTGCCAGTTGGCTATGACTACTTAAGATAGACCCATCCACGATTGAATGTTCAAGACATGGTAAAAGGCAAATGATGAGCAGGTTTTGAACCCACAACATTTTTATCTTGTCACACTTACTACTAGTTTAGAAGTCAAAGAATATCATGCATTGACAGTAGAATCACATGAGATTAAACAGTTGTTTGCCAACACAAAAGGAGAATAAAGACTAGTTTGCATTTAATTCGATGAACACAAAACATGCCAGGAATAAGCGAGTCAGGGACTGGCGCCGGCGCTGTTATGATGTGGTAACTGCTTTGTGAATGCGAAGCCCAACCTCTAGCACCCATAGTTCTTCGTCAGCGCCGTCACACAGTGCCTTATCGGCTTCTGCAAAAGCGAGAGCGCACTTCGCTTTTTGTCGTGCAGGCAGCGTCGGATGCAGTATGATAGTGTCATGAAGCTATAACGATGTCAGACAAGTTCAGCTGCTTTGATGAATCACTGACCTGTGAGAGTGTCTGTGATGCTGAGTATCCTTCTCGCATGATGCCCTTGACCTTTTTCTGGACGGCATTAAAACCCTTCAGTTTCCAGTTTGTCGGCAAGTCATCGACATCCATGTCTTCGACGACGGACACGCCGAGAGTCTTCGCAAAATCGTTTATAACAGCAGTCGGAACAACACCTGCTATCTCCTGGATGTCGTGAGGCGTGATTGGCACCGGAGGGTTGGTGGAGGAAGATAATCGAGACGCAGATTGCAAATATGTTATGGAGCGACGAAGGTCACCACCAGAGGTCTCGATCAGGGTAGAAATGACCTCAGGACTAACGTCAATATGTTCTGCGCTTGCAATGTGAGAGAGTCGGGATGAGGTTGATGTCGAATCAAGAGGCGTGAAACGAAACTTTGAACATCGAGACGCGAGAGGTTCGATTATTCTTGTAGTAGTCAGTGACTGCAAGGAGAAAAAGAAGTGCTCTCACCTTGTCACATAATTGCAAACAAGACAAAAACGAGTTATCCGGGCGTAGGTCTCCATTATCCGCCGTAATGCACCTTGCGCATCTTGTGTCATGGAATCTGCTTCGTCGAGAATGATGATTTTATATGGCGGACAGGGATAAACAGTTCCATCTGATGCCACTGCCTGTGCTCGAGGTGTTTGACGGGCGAACGATTTGATCTTCTCTCTGACTATGCTGATGCCTCTCTCGTCTGATGCATTGAGCTCTAGGACTCGGTTTCGAAAGTTATCGGGTCTAGCAGAGTAGTGAGTTTGGGCAAATCAAAATGAAATCAGCCGCACCCAAAGAGTTGCCTTGCAAGTGCAAGAATGGTGGATGTTTTACCAGTTCCGGGGGGTCCATAGAACAACATGTGAGGGAGCTACTTTGCATGAGGAAGAACCACGGCATAAGTAAGAAAGGCTTTCATACATTCGTCGAGACCAGTGTTTTCCGCAGCACTGCGATTGTATGCTCTTGTGCCGAGACATCATCTATGGTCTTTGGTCGACTGCATGTGATGAGAAGATTCATAGAGCAAAACGAACATACTGACTATTTTTCTACCCATGGTTGATGTGCTGGGTCTACAAAATGTTTCGACGCTGCTGATGTTGACTTTGCTTGAAAAAATGCCATCCTCGAACAACCCTTGGATGTTCTTTAGATATTATCTCCTTCACGCCGCATAAGTTGAATCGCGTCGGAAACGCGTGACTGTCACGTCACGAACACGACTCGGCAAAAGGTTTCCCACATAACAATAGTCACAATCCATCCACGACGCGACTGGGCTAAAGCACGCGTTTTTTTCGTTCCCGACTACGTCGTGATTCTAATCATTCTGCACAAATGGCAGATACAGAGAAAAGGGGTATGCCTTGGGCAAAAATGTTATGTTTTATAGCTGAAATCCCTGTCAGATTCTTCCAGCGCATCAACATCTACTGGTGAGCAGTCGACCAGCCTTCTATCCCGGATGAACTCACGCGGACGCGTCATTTTGCTATATAGTAGCAAAGAAACCTCTTGCTGAGTTGAAAAATGGAAAAGTTATCTTCAAGCAGAAGCCCATATCGTTTGAGAAGTCATCGGAAGCCATGCAGGGTCTGTCCTCCTCCCATTTCGAGAGCGTTCAATCTAAATTTCTATTCAATAGAAATCGTCAAGTTCCGGGAGATGATCGAGCAGCGAATTGAGAGGCAGGACCCCCCACTTACTTCTATTCCAGACGAACACAAGCCACTGATAGTGAAGCTTGCGCAAGAGAGGTGAGCTTGGGACATGGCGACCCACGTAAGTTGTTACTGACTTCTACATCTAGTGAGAAGGGTGTCACTCCGCTTGCGAAGCATATTCGTGCCGAACTTCTGCCATCCTTCGATGAGGACGATGACTCTTCACGCGAAAGTATATCAGTTGCTTTGCCTCTTCTCGTGGTGGAGCATGCCATTCAGTCGCTCATGGTCAGGACGAATTATGGCCTGGATGGGCCATCGGGATATAAACTCCCCCCTATTGTGTGCGTTTGGCGATGGGAGGTCGGAGACGACTATAGGGATTGGCTACCCAAGTCTGCCAGGGAGAAAGCCGAGACAAGAATAGCTGAACGCGTCCAGGTATGTATTGTCTCGAGTTTAATTGTCTTCCTTGACGTATCTTTTTAGGCCAAGACAGACCTTCGCGCAATCTTCGAAAGTCTACCGCAAGATGAACGGGATGCAATCCTCAACCCGAAAGGTACTAACAAGCTCCCCGCTAAAGACATCAATAAGCCCAATCCACCGAGCTATGCAACCGACGAACAGGCTGATGCAACTGAACTCAAGGCCTCGACATCCCAGCGTGATCCGAGTGTGAGTGCCAATGAACCCGAAAACATCGATGTATGTTCTCCTTTCCTTTTCCCATGTCACCGACTCACTACAAACTTGGGTAGTCTGGGAGTGGAACTCCAAAAGCTCGACAACGAAAAGCTACAGATGCAGAGAAGGCCGCCAAAGTATGCTGGTCTTTGCGTAGCAAATTTATTCAGTTAATGTTGTTATTTCAGGCTAAAGAGAAGGAAGAGAGGAAGGCAGCCAAGGCCGAAAAAGAAAAGAAGCAAAAGGCGACTCAAGACAAATCCCGGTCTCTTATGGCTAATTTCTTCGGCAAGGCGAAGGCTCCTCCCCGCGAATCACCTTCAAAACCCGTTTGTGGGACTTCCACTAGTGAATCAGAATTTCAGAAGACGTTTAAGCCTTTTGTCTTGAAGAAAGACGCAGAAATGGCGCCAGTGAACTGGTTCTTAGAGCCTAGCAAGTCAATTTGGAAGAAGCAGACCTCGGGTTTCAGCCATGCAGACGCTATCATGGTCGATGATGCCCAAGCCTCGGAGATGAATGACATTGATGTGTTCGTGTATCGCACACCAGCATCCAATTATGTCGGAGCTAATGCGCAAGGTGCGTGCATCAAAGCACGCCAGTTCATATCGTTGATATTGTATACAGAGCGTTTCCAGGATATTATACGGTCGTTGCGACCACTTCGGCTCACGCAGCCTTGGGACCGATCGAAATCCTCCTTCAAATCTTTCAGCCCATGTAACACGAAAGATATATATTCCCAGCTCAATGATGCTGAAATAGCTGGGGATACATCTCAAGTTCGCTACTTATCAAACATTCTTAGGGACAGGAACATGCTTCCAGCGAAGGTCTTGATTTTCCATGAGGATGCGCGTCCTGGCTACTATGGTTCCTGGACGAAGAACTCGCGCATCGTTGGTCCTAGATCACCTTTCGCTCGTGATCTGCTCGCCCGAGATTACGGGTACGATTCTGGAGAGGAGTGGGAAGATGAAGGTGCAGCAGACGCGGACAACGTTGACGACGACGACGATGAGGAGGGTGACGGCGAGGAGAATGATTCTGATCTGGAAAGCTGGTTAGTGGATGATGATGAGATCGAAGAAGTTGTTCCGGATGACAGGGACCTATCACCTTCACTTCTGGACATACCCCTTCCCCCTCCAAAGAGGAAAGCAGAGCTTCTTAGCAAACAGCCTGAAAAGAAGCGGAAGATCGTCGTCCCTCTCGTCCCCTATATCAAAGGTCCTCTGTGGGAGTCGGTCATAGGTCAATGTGAATATGATGCTTTCAAGCCATACCGTATACAGCTATTTAATGGTACGTGCTTCACGGAGTTTGCTGAACCGTCTTTGATCGCCTGTTACAGATACGCAATACCCAATTGACCCCTTCACTTTCGTCGCAAAGACTGCCGAAGAAATTCAGCAACTAAACGATGAGTCCAAGTTCGCAGTTCCCTCCCTACCCAATCGGCTATCAGGAAACAACAGCGTTACAGAGTCATCAGCTGCTGCTACTCAGGCCCCATCGAACAAGCGTGCTACCCTAGCGTCCACGCCGAAGACCACATTCCCCGATGCACACGTCCCTCTACTCATCAGCAAGATCACGACTTTAGCGACAGCAAACCTTACATTTATCGTGGAAAGCGTTCACCAGGAGCTTCGCGCGCATAAGGTGAAGAAGAATGCTATCGAGGCGAAGATACGGGAGGTAGCAAAGAAATCCAAGGATAAGAAAATATGGGTTATCAGCGAAGGGCAACAACTATGATCGTTGATTCCCTCTTAACACAATACCTGAACCAGCATTTTAAGTGCTCGTGGTTTGATCACGGATGTAACCTTATATCTCATGCAGCGTCAACTGCGTTCTATAATAGATGTGTCCTGTACATCGAATTGGTTCGTCCTGTGAGTGTCCATCAATATCAAAGCCTAACATCAGAGGAGGGACCAAAAGAAAATAGATATCGGCTTTAGTATCACAGGGTGTATAGTAACAGATAAAATCATCCTTAAAATTGACATCATCATGAGCTTGCCAGCCTCCAAAGCTGAGCGGCATCATCAAAATCTGATTTACTTCCATCGGACGGGAAGGAGTGGATGTCACTAGATTCGCTGCCTAAACAATATGTTAGAGCACACTTCCAAGGGACAACTCAAATGTAATACACTCACGCACAAGCATCTTGGTCACTCGCCCGTCCTTGTCAAGAACGGGTTCGAACCCTAACCCTCTGTAGATCTTCAAGCGCAATCTAGAGAAGCAGCATGGTCAATTGCCTCTCATGTTATACAGCATGGTACTC